GTTTTTGGGAACATAAGAAACAAGTACGCAGGTCTCCGAAAATGCAAACATGCTACTACATTGCTTTCTTTCTTTGATAATAAGAAATTCTGGGGGAATTTCCTTTTTATTTTTTCTCAGCGTCCCGACTAGTGTCGTTCTGTATAAGTTTGTAAGTCCTAATGCTAAAGGCACTGACGTAAAGTAGTTATCGATGGTTAAATTACGACCGGTATTTAGTATTGGTTGAGCTAATCGCTTGATAACAGACGCTGCTTTATTATCACGTTGAATGGGCCATCCGCTTGTTTGCCGGCATATATTTCTAAATTGGAGGTATAGAAAGTACGAGCATCTACCATCGCATAAATTTTAATGCCATATTTTGCCGGTTTATTAGATATATACTGGCGGAACATACAACGGCCTCTAAAGGCATCAAGCATTTCGTCAATAGTGACATATTCCATCACTTGATAGTTTGCCGTGCATCGTCCTACAAAATCGTCAAACAGAAATATGATAGGAGCTAGGTTATAGGTCTTTAGGCAGTCTTTTCTGTCATCATTATCAAACCGTAAAGCTTGTAAAAGTTCGTAAAACCTTCTTTTACTCATAGTAGCAGTGAAGCACTCGGTGAAGTACCGTCTTTGGTCCATAAAAAATCTTAAATATTCTATAATCCATAATATTTATTTCATATTAAGTGTTACTAACTTGAATTAACATAGAATGTGTCCCTTTCCGGTTATAATAAGAATCGTCACCTCTTGGTCCGTTAATTAATATGTGTGACCCATCTACACAATATTAGGAAACAATGAGTTTCCCCGTAAGTTGTTAAAATCTAGTATCTTTCTTCGGCCATATTATATAACGATCTCGAGCAGCATATATTCTTTTCACTGTTTGTATAAATATCGTGTGGGCATGAGCTCGACTTAGACCAAATCGGCCGCTATTCCTCTAAACGATTCTTGGTTTGAAAGAACCCAGAGCGTCAACAAGAAAGCGTGTTGCGGTGACACCGATGGTTTTGTAACATTTAATTTTATTGGTTGGAGTTGTAGGTCTTCCAACACGTTCTAACACGTTCTTCTTCGTACGTCTTCCAACACGTTCTAAAAAAGTGATACAGATACAAACAGATTTATTTATATTGTCTTACCTCCACAACAGACCTCGTAAGTCTAAAGTGTGACTTAAAATCCATGTCACAGTATCGTGGAACCACTGACAAAATATAATTTTCAATTTTCGCATACATTTTTGGTTGGTTTCTCACGAGATGGATTAAGAGTAAATCTTCATCCGATGAACTTTCTTAGAAGATGCCTCTATAATTTTTCTAACCAATTGTACACTGCCCAGTCATTGTTTATTAATGTTTATTCAGAACTGCTTAACAAGTAACAACCATAAAGATAAAGATGGTAACAACTCACTCTTCCACAATACGGTTATTTATTATGTTTTCAATATTTCTGTCGTCTGTTGTCAGTAGTCTGTTGTCAATAGTTCTGTTGTGTTTTTCTGACAGTAAAATACACCGGTAGTTTCCGATGAATTTTGATGACGCAGTAGAAATCGTGTGCTCACCGCTAAGTGGACATTCTGCATGTAGTCAAATGTTATTACTTCCAGGTCATCACAAATCTTGCACTCATCAGTAGATTGCTTTAACGATAAATAAAACTTTTTTGCTCTTCTTTTATCCACCGCGAGTTCGGCAGATGCTGTTCTTTTAGCTGCACCTCCTAGTGAAGGACTTTTTATTTTATGTCAAATTCTTCACATTTGCAACAAGTGTCTATTTGTGGACAGCCAAAATGAATGTCAAAAGTCCATGAAAATATTTCCCAAAGTAAGAATATCGAATTTTGGTTGTTGGATATTTTACTCTGAACATATCAAACATAATTTTCATATTGAGTTTAGCATCAAGATATAGATAGGTTTTACTGCTGTAATGAGTTTACTTAACAGGGAATGATTCAATATGCTGACGAATTAACACGTTGTTCTCTTCTGAAATAGCATTGCCTTTTATGTTGTGTCCACGCCTGTTATACGGAGTTATATTTTGTTTTAGAAGACCTTTTAAACTTTTTAACCTTTTAATGGTAATGCTAAACAAACAAAGAAATGCCTTTTGACATACTTTTCTTCGTTTACCATCAACAGGAATATAGTGATGAAAGGAGCAAGTTTTTCCCTCGGAATTTTGTGGTTGATATTTTCTTTTTATGTTAACTACTTCTAAAAGACCTTGCAAATATAAGTCCTGATCATACTTAGTGTTAAGAGCATGAAAGCGAGTAAAAAGTCCATCTTTTATATCATCATTCAATTTTTCAAAGCATTTCATTCGTCAGCTAAAAAAAAGAATGGTCAGTACATAATTACAGAAAGAATTTATCTATTACAAACTTACCGGCATCCATCTCCAAGCTTTCTTGCTGCTACAGTTTTTCCTTTATAATTTACGTAAGTTCTCCCTGAACTCTAGCTTTCTTGATAAAACTCCTTTTGTAATTTTCGTCATTTCTAATCCCTCGTTTTCTTTCTTTGTAGCTTCTTCTACTGATCTTTCTGACTGGGTATCGTCGGTATCATTCATTATTATTATTTTATAAAGATATTTTTTGTTAATAATAAACACTCTCAAATATAGGCTTTGACACAACAAATCTGATAGTACTTTTTGATTTTGGTATAGAAAATATTGTAATGTGATTTTTACCGCATGTGTATTGTTTAACGATTATAGACTAGATATTTGTTTGGCCAAGGATATTAAATCAAACATCTTTTATAACATATTTTTTAAAAAATATATTGTATAAGATGTTTATTTAAATTTACTTGAAACAAATTATCTGGCATAAAATCATCCTAGTTTAAATATTGTATGATCGAAGAATACGACTTCAAGTTAACTTAGAAATGACTATTGATGATGACATTAACCATATAACTTTACAAAGAAAATGTTATCGATCGTCATTTTTAAGTTAACTTGGAATCGTTATTTTTCGAACATACGGTATATTAAATTAATAAGTTGTAAATATAATACTATAGATGGCGCTGCTAAAATTGCTTTGAATGCAATGCAGATTTCTTTTTAAAATTTAATTGCAGATTTCTGTTTTTAAATTTAATTTGTAGTTCTAAATCCGTGTCATAGATGGCGTACCAAAATGTTGTCCTAATTTTTTGTACGGAAGATTTCGTTCTGTTTTAATCTGTTCTGTGGTACCAAGCAACTGATGACTTTTGATTTTTTAACGGTACTGCTCTCGCCTACAGGAGTGGGGAAAGCAGCACACAGTAGGGATCACTGTGGGGCGCGTGCCGTATTTCCTCGAGCATCGATCGACACGAACCAAGACTACTACTTACTTTTAACAAAATAATTATTTTATAAATAATTTGATAATTAAAAGCTAATTAATTTAATCATAACAAATTAATTATCACAAAAATTTAGTATCATCGTTACAAAGTGATTAAAAAGAAAACTACTTACTCTTTATTCTAAAGATAAAAAGCTTGTTTCATTTTGTCTGACTTCAAATAGGTAAATGGTAAATAAAAAACTAACTATTATAAGTTTTATCAACCTTACCTCAATTCACTATTATTATTCACAATATCACAATTAATGTAAAATTTATTTCTTAACTTAAAGACACAGAAATGATAATCTTGCAAATTCAAACCTTTGAAATGTTTTTAAAACCAGGGAAATTCCCGGTTGCCAACTTGAAAAACAGGCATTTATCACTGAAACCCAAAGCATAAAACACCTAAGTAGGAATCTGTAATTTTTTTTTATTTGCTTATAGTTTATTATCTTGAGTGTAGGTGACACCATTTTCTACAGCGATCTATATAACCTCACATATTTTTTGAAAAAAAAACTAAAAAAAATAAAATCCTAGCGAATTTCAGAATTATTTTTTTTTAAAAGTAAAAAACCTATCTTTGCCCCGAAAAAAAAATAAAAAAAAACATTTGAAACGTTAACTGTTACTTGAAAGGGTTTTATTTCATAAACTGATTGCAACTAAATGTATAATGAAAAAAGTAAATCTACATAAATGATGAATCAGACTCATAGGCTCGATCTTCAACTATTCCGTCTTCACGTGGTCGTTCAACAGTCGTCGCCTCTTCTCCAAAAATATGTTTATAGTAGCATTGATCTGCGGCTGGAACATACTTTTCTACGAGGGTTTTAACATCTTGGACCTTTTAGTATTGAAAATACTTCTGGCCGCGTTTATATGGGACCCATCTTTGAAAAAACGACATGCTCGATGCCACACGAGTTCAATAACCTGCCTAATCAACTTGTAAACAGTAAGTCTATAGTTTAGCCGGAGTTGATCATTGAAGGACGTTTGAGGGCCGAAATGAGGTCTTATTAATTTATCAGTGTGTGTGTGTGTGTGTGTGTGTGTGGGCCAACTATTTTATGGATATGGATGTTTGTCTGGGCCGGCGGATAAAGAAAGCCCATATTATTATAAAAAAGAATATGCGTCAAGGCATATGGGTTGTTAGATACAGTTTGGCTATTTTTAATCTAACTCTTTCCATATGAAGCAAGGACTTCTAAATTATACGTGAGAGAGTGGAATCACATAAATAATAAATTTAGACTAATGCAATATTTTTTCTTGGCGCGTAGGATAGGTAAATGCATTAAAGGGAACAATTAATTAAATCATTAAATTCCAAAACATAATAACTCGGATCTCATCGGATCTGCTGATACATTTTGCTAAAATTTAGGCTATTAGGACCTATATTTTTTATGATTATTATTTTTTTAATTAACAACTTAGGCCAAAGAAAAAGCTTGCATGGTTTCCATCGCCAACAGGCGTAAAAACACATGAATCCAAGGCGTTGCCAAATATTTATTGGGATAAGATTTTATCCTTTGAATATTGTTGTAAATAATAATTATCATTTAATTAGTGCTAACTTATCAAAGTTCACAACATGGCGAAATTTCAACAAAATCGGTCAACGGATCTTTGGGATATTAATAAAAAAGGTCTATTAGAAAACACCTTGACACCCTGTATCTTTAAAATTATACATTTCCGGACTTCATAAATGTTTATATGAACTTTTTACCTTAAAACACTCAAAGAATCACCTCCTGAAGTTTAGCCCAGGCGGTGGCTTGCCCGCAGTTTTTAATGGCTAGCTAGTGATCTAGTAAGCTATGTTTATTTTAATGGGAAAAAATACATTTCATAAAAAATAAACAAACTCATAATACAAATACTATACACTAATTAATTCATTTTAAATGTATCTAAATAGGCACTTTAATAATTGAAAAATGGCCAGGAGCACTTAAAATCACTTCATAGAATACCAAATATGCAAAAAAAATCCAATAAAAAAAACATAAATGGCACATTAAAATCTGCATTATCTGAAATCAAACTATACCTAAACGGCTAATAAAATAATAGTGACAGGACTAAATAAAAGTGACAAGACGCCAACATCGATAACGCGAGGAGCAGTTTTAAATAATTATTATATTATTCCGAGTTATTATTACATACGTGTTTTACAATTATTGTAA